TAGTTATGAATATTGAGAAATTTTTAAAAATGCCACTTTACAAAAATACTACTTTGTCAAAATTATTTTTTCTTTATATTATTTATGTTTGGGTTAATTATGTTCTATTATGGTTTAGTTACGAGGCTTTAGGGGTCAAAACATTTTTTAGTATTTAGAATTTTAAGATATAAGATTTAAAAATCTATAATTAGTGGCATTTTTGCAAATAAACACCCCTAAGTGATATTTTTGCAAATGTGCACATAAAAAGTGGTATTTTTGCAATTGCTCGTTGATAAAGAAAATGTAAAATATAAAAAAATAAGTATCCCACGATTATTATGGTTTAAAAGTAAAAATATAGATATAGTTTTTTAATACTTCTATAAATCAATGATAATGAATATTAGGAAATATAAATGTAAAATGTGGAAAAATAAGGATCCCATAATTATTTTATGGTTTAAAATAAAAAAAAATATATATAGAAATAATCTATTACCGTGAACGGCAGGATTCGAACCTGCGCGGGCAAAGCCCACATGATTTCTAGTCATGCCCGATAACCACTCCGGCACGTCCACTTTTGATTACACAGCACACATTTTCGTTAAGTATCCTTTAAATTTTCGATTTTGTTCGCTGTGTGTCTGTCACGAACCCTAATTTTCGGGGCTCTGTGTTGGTCAGTAGTCACAATTTGTACACTCTCAAAAACCTCTCTTTTGAGCCATTGAGATCGAAACCTCGAAATTGCAGAAATGGCGACAGCTTTAGCTTCCAAACTCTCCAGAGGTACGTTTTTTTATCTCTTACTCCTTCATATAGCGAGTCGCTCCAATTCAAGTTTTGATTTTTATATTATTATTATTTGATAAAGATTGCTTCTTTCAAATAACAATATTTTACTGGATACCTTTAGATCTTATGCAACACTGATTATTAGGAACCGTGGGAGTTTAAGTTTCGAAATGAGGTCACAACTTTTTACACTCTGGTAATCTTTGAGTTGTTGAATTTCTAAACTTTGATTAGTTCATGAAATGCAGATTCAAAGAGTAACACTTTTGTTCTTGTTATTGATATTACGAAGTTATGCTCAGATCTGTTTGGCTGAAAATTTGTTTTTGTTGGGTCTGTTGTTTTGATTTGATTCATTCACAATGTACCTGCAGGACGTTCGTTGCTTGGAGGTCTTAGCAATGCCTTCTCTGGTTTGATGAATTCCTCCAATGGAATGATGAATGGAACCATCCTCTCTCGGGTCTTACCTCGATGAACTTTGCCTTTTACATTTTGAGAGAAACCAATGAATAGTGTGTGTCCTGATGGTTTCAAATTGGCTACAGCAACAAAGGACATTCATTCAAATGGGGACGCTTCTCAAAGCCGTGGACAACTCGGGGGCAAAGGAAGTGATGTGCATTCAATCCTTTAAGGGAGGAAAGAAAGGAGCGAGACTTGGCGATATCATTGTTGGTTCAGTGAAAGAGTCGGCACCAAAAGGTGAAGTGAAGAAAGGGAAGGTCGACGCGGTACCAAAAGGTAAAGTGAAGAAAGGGAGGGTCGTGTACGGTGTGGTTGTGCGTGCTGCGATGCCCAAAAGGCGTGTTGATGGAAGCGAAGTGAAGTTTGATGACAATGCAGTTGTAATTGTGGGGATTAAGGAAAAGAACAAGAATAATTCGGATGGTACCAAGAAAAAAATGGAGTACCACCAACCAATTGGTACCCGAGTGTTTGGTCCTGTCCCGCACGAAATGCGCACCAAAAAACAGCTCAAGATCCTTTCTTTGGCTCAGGACATTGTTTGAGACGATACACCACCCAGTTATGTGACTCTGATTCATCAATCAGTTAGGTTTCTGTTTGATTATTTCTAGTAAGAAACAGGGAATAGAAAATTCATCATTTTAAATGGAGAGACTTCTAAATGTTACAAGCACCACCCTCTCAAAACCCCCATTATTGTCATGTTTTTATAAATCAGTTTGTATCACAGCCTTGATTAAACAGTTTGGCATCAATATTAGCTTTTGTATAACAAAAGAAAAAGACAGTAATTACTCTATCATAACAAGTATATTTATATATATGAAGAAGAAATGTGATAATAATTTTCAATTACACTTTCCTTTGGCCACATCTCCAATATTACAACATATCCATCTACATTTTTTATAAAGATTCCAAATAAAATTTATGAAAAACATTTCTTCTTCTATTCTTCTTATACATAACAAAAATACACATTCAAGTCCATGAGAAAAAGGAATGGACTTTTTAGCTATGCATCATCAAGGTCTTAATTCTTCTTTCCCCAACATTTCACTTCTTATTTTTTTATGTGTAAACTTGTGGAATTTA